GGTAAAATGAAGTACTATTACTTCATGTGCCCGGTGCTCCGTTGTCGTATAAAATGACCTTAACTTCACTGACTTTAACTTTACTAACATATTATCGACTCAGTAAGTTTCATTTAGTTTCCATGAATTAGGATTTTATTCCCATATAGTTTTTCCCCCTCTTCTTTTTCTCCATTTCCCCCTTTTTAAAACGCTTTTGGAAATATAAGGTTCTCCTTGTTGCTCATCTGGTCGCGTCTATCACGGACAAATCACCGTTGCTGTGTTTATATATATATATATAAAGTTTTTGCTCAAATGTTACTTTCCAACTTGTTTATTTTCTATCCCGGGCTCTACGCCTCTCTCCTCTTTTTCCCTGCATGGTAAGGCTTCATAAATCATTCTTTTTCATTCATACGTGGCAACTTTTTTTTTTTTTTTTTGCTTTATTTAAATGCAATTTAGTATTTGTTTCGTGTCGACTTTTTAAAATTCTTTTTCGTGCAACTTATTCTCCTCAGAACACTCCTGCAGTCTTCTCAGACATCTCATTTCCATGGTCACTAATTTATATTATTTTCCGCCTAACATTAGGTTAGGTGCAAAACAGGTTTTTGTTTGTTGGTGTTATGGCTTATGTTAGGAAATACTGGAGAAGCTATGGAGGAGTCTATGATGAAGCTGTAGGTTTATATAGTAGAAATATTTACAAATAAGTGTTAGAAACAGTTACATCCAGGGAAGGCTAGTTAATCCAGGCGTATAGGTATTGATTGCTTTGGGTGATGGTTAGTTGCGTATCCTTTACAGGACGTTGCAGAACCAACCCCAGCAACCCCTGGCTGGTGTGTGGTTTCTCTAGGCAAATTTACGCCTAGTAGTTTGCCATTGCCACTGGACGGTCGGCCCCCTGATACCACTGTCGAAACCAACGCCAGGCGAATGGCCCGGCTTTGGATGATAAGTAAAAAAAGTAAAGTTCCATTTTCACGCCTTTGGGCGCATCGGGCATATGGGCAGAGCGTCCCATATTTATAAAGACCATCAGCACTCTGTGGGTAATGTGGTCAGCATTACGCCGTTTGGATGATAGGAATAGATAATAAATGATAAACAAATTGAATGTTAGCAGAGATGGAAAGGGGGGCGGGGGGAGGGTATGAGTATTGATTTTTTGTGTGTGCTGGGTGTCAAATTGGATATATAGGTTACACACGGAAATTTGGGAGTATGCAATGAAGATGTAAATGTTATATGTGCAAATACGTATGGATGCAAGGGAACATTTTTTTTTTTAATTTGAAAGGGGAAAATGGCAGGGTAAGTTAACGTTAGCGGGTTTGGGTATTGATTTCTTGGTTGTTAGGGAGTAGATAATTTTCTCCCTAACGAGTTGGATAAAGATGGTATTAACTTTCTTTGTATGCAAAACACATAAACTAATAACACGGAACAAAAGAGAAGTGTATAATAAAACTGTCACTGCCGTCTGTATTTATCGCTTTTTATGACAGTGTAGACACGGGGTGGTGAACTCAAGGATTTAAAGCCGCTTGACTAGTGCTGAGCGTTTTCATTAGGTTCTGTGTCAGACAGACAAACGACCATCACTTTAACAGGGGTCGAACTTAAACATCTAAGGTAGTAACCCATTGGTTGCTGCAGGCGTGATTTGTTTAACTACACCGAATATTAAGAAGAGGAGGAGCAGAAAGAGGAGGACAAGGAGGATGAGGAAAAAAAAGAAAAAGATGATGAAGAAAAAGAAGTAGTAGTAGAAGACGAAGAAGAAGAAGAAGAAGAAAAAAAAAAGAAGAAGAAGAAGAAGAAGAAGAAGAAGAAGAAGAAGAAGAAGAAGAAGAAGAAGAAGAAGAAGAAGAAGAAGAAGAAGAAGAAGAAGAAAAAGAAGTAGAAGAAGACGAAAACAATTAGATAAAGGAGAAAGAACAGAAAAACAAGACGAAGTGTTATTAATATGTCAGTTCCATTTTCTAATTCAAAGGAATGCAATTTGAAGTAAAATTTTCTCTTCACTTTTTCTGGCCCAAAGAATTTCGTAAGAAAAGTACTACAACCATGGCTCAAATTCTTGATGATGAATGGATGAAACAATTCAGAAAGTTGTCTGTGAGTATTTAGTTGTTAACTGATGTAATAAATGAAGAACGTTTCTTGCGCACCTTTACAGGTCATTGCAGAACCAACCCCCAGCATCTTTTGGCTGTTTGTGATTTTTTACCAGGAAGTTTTAAAATTTATAAGTTTGCCATTGCTTGTAACAGTCGGCTGTCGATACCACTGTCGAAATCCACGCAAATCGATCTACTGTTAAAATGCCTGCTACTAAAATCAACCGGTATTTCGGCATTACCAACTGCGTTTCCAATTCCTAAGCCACATCATTATAAATTTGAACAAAGAAGACACAAACACAAGATTGCAAAATTTATTGCCTGGTATATTTCGTTGCATCTACATAAATGAAGCAAATACGTGAATCCTTTATACAAAGTCCGACAACTAAGTAATGAGACTAATTCCATAAAAATTTAAATAATCAACAGTTGAAGATATGACCTGTATTTTATTCAAAGTAAGCCCCTTGTGCATTGATACAGTGAGTAGCACGATCTAACAAACACTGGAACAACCACCGTAGTTCTTCTGTTGCTATGGCCCTTAAAGTCGATGTTACGGCCCTTTGGAAGTCATCAATATCGTCAACAACAAAAAATGTCCCTTTCAATTGTAACTCTAATATTGGGAATAGAAAATAATCACAGGGAGAGAAATCTAGGGAATAGGGTGGATGGTTGAGAACTCACACTTGTTTTGGGGCTAAAAATTCCTGTTTTCATGTCTCGTGGGTATTTAACACACTGATGTTTTTAGTCTTCAGACAACAAAGGCGGTACAAACCTGCAACTTTTTTCTTGCCAAAATCTTGCACTCAAATTTTACCAAGGGTCTCTATATTAAATTCAGATTCATCTGCCATCACCCTGACAGTAAAACAATGATCGTCTTGTATACGTTCTGTGACTTTTGCAATGAGTTCATCATTACAAACAAAAATTGGGCATCTAGGTCTAGTTGCATTAGTAATAATTTCTACATCACTTTTAATTCATGAACACCCCCCTGTAAATCTGTGCACCAGACAAACAATTATCCCTATGAACTTTTAACATCAAATTTAACAACTCAATGGCGCTTTTTCTGAGTTTTAAGCAGAATTTAATGTTAGCTTTTTTTTGCTCCACGCTGATGTCGTAACCATGCACATCTAACTAGGTAAAAAAAATGGCGGCTTGTTTAGCTTTTGCTTATCAGGCAGCGATGCAAAGTTGCCAATTCATAGATGATGCTTACCTCTTTGGACTCCATGCTTTGCTTTATAGATGGCACTTTTGTCTTGGCCGTAACAACATCAGTCCCATTACTTTGTTGTCAGACCTTGTAACGGAAGTACAAATTCAACAACTATCAACCATAACTGCCTGTTTTATCAGGGCAGCCGTAGATTGATCAGAGACTGACGCAGCATCATCACCCGTTTGGTTTTCTCGACTTTAAATTCCTCGTTGACAGATGTAAAAGGACACGCGAGTTTCACATATCGACTATATAGAGCCACATCGTCAAGCTTGGTGGTACTTCTGAGCCATCTCCTTATGCTTTTGTTGATTTTAATCTTTTTTTTTCCTATTTCTTATGCACCTTTTCCCCACGCGACCATGAACAACTGATAGAGTTGTTTAAGCATTGTGGGACAAAGTGTTTTTGTTCACCTTAGATTGTATACAGGATACCACTGAGCTGTATACAAATGGCTTGCTTAACCACCTTTGTTATCGTTTGCCACGAGGGTACAATAGTCTTGAACTTCACCCTTGGACGCTCCGGACGCGGTAGCTCTCTTCTCTTGTCAAAAAGGACTTTATTCTGGATATGCATCTGCCTGATGTGCTTCAAGTCTCTCTCTCTCTCTCTCCTCCTCTCCCTCTCTCTCTCTCTATATTTCAATCTCACCATGTTATGGGGGCCCAATGTCGGCTTTAAAAGAGATCTCTCTCAAACTGAAGCCACTCTCTGTAACTTGTCTTGCTCTTTCTTTATTCTTGTTCGATTTCGTCATAACAATTATGCAGGGCATAAGACACTTGCTACATTTTTAGATGCGCCGACATATCATCGAGGCGCACACGCTCGCTCCATCCTCCCAGTTTCACTTAGATTATGTCGTCTGCTCTTCCGCTGGCAGGGGACTACCTTCTTCCTTTTACAACATTCGAATTTCTGGAGAAAATGAAACTGTCCTAGGTTTTCTTAAAGCGATAAGTGTTTGAAAGCACTTTCTAAAACTTGTGACAACATGCCATCGAGTGTACCCCGTGTCAATTCCTTCTTCACATCCTTCACTACTACTACTACAACTACTACTACTACTACTACTACTACTACTACTACTACTACTACTACTACTACTACTACTACTACTACTACTACTACTACTACTACTACTACTACTACTACTACTACTTTCACAACAACAACAACAAAAATACTAGTATTACAGCAATAATAAAAACTACTACTAGTACTATTACAATATTACAACAACAACTACTACTATTACTACTACTAGTTCTAATACTACTAATATTACTATTAACAACAACAACTACTACTACTACTACTACTATTACTACTACTACTACTACTACTACTTTTTTTTTCTTCTTCTTCTGCCACCGCCGCTGCTGGGGCAGCTGTTGCTACTACTACTGATACCTCTGCAACAATACAAAAACAACAACTACTAGCTACTACTAGTAGTAGTACTGCTAATACTACTTTTGCTGTTGCTAATAATACTATTGCTGCTACCACTGCCTCGGCAACGATTATTACTTCTATAACATTATTATAAAACAACTGCTGTTACCACCAACACCACTGCTACAATTACTCATACTGCTTTTAACGACTTTATACCATTGTTTTTAATTCAATAGCTGAATATACAAGCGTCAGACATAGACAGAGATCAAATAAACATCCTACTGTGTGGACCACCAGGACATGGCAAAAGCTCAACTGGAAACTCCATCTTGGGTTCTGCAGCATTTTCAGTGTCCTCCGATGGCGAAACCGAGACCACAGCAGCAGAGGTAAAATCGACAACATATGAAAGCTACAAAGTCAAAGTTGTTGACTGTCCACCCACTCCAAGAGAGAAGCCCGGCAAGAGGAATGTCCTAGTATCGTGCGAATCAATGATGCCGAAGTTATTGAAATTGTGCCCAAAAGGCTTCCATGCAGTTATAGTTGTTTTACAGTACGGAAGTCGCTTTTTTGAAGAAGAGGAATATGCAATGGCCATGCTGAAAGAAATGTGTGGGGAACAATTCATCAAACGTCATTGTATTTGTGTGATCAGTCATGGAGATATGTTTAAAAAAGCAATGGAGAAATCTAGCCCTCAAGGTGCGGCGCTGGATTTCAACAGTTGGTGTAGAAAACGCAGCCCAACTTCAGTTCTTGGAAGAATTTTCGCAGCCTGTGAGTACAGATGTGTCCTGTTCGATAACTTCACGAATGACGTAAACACTAAAAAAGCACAAGTGCGACAAATGATGTCCATGATCATCGACTCCTGGCCTAAAAGGAGCCTGAGGGTTGTGGTGTCTGTTAGTAAGTTGATTGTTTGTGATCTGTTTGTTACTGTTGTTGTTAGAGCTGGTTAAACTATATTCATTCATTCATTGTCATGTTGTTCCATGATATATCACATAGAGCTCTCGGCCCATTTCGCCATCTGGTTTTATCCTGTGCAATCACTTCTAAAAGTGAAGGTAAAGGTGAAGTCGGGAGATGTGAACCAGCCTCATTGCACACAGTTATAAACCATTAGTGCTCTGTCACCAGTACGGGCAGCTGATAAGAATTGTCGGCCTGTGTCGCCGTCCGCACGTAACTCTGTAGCCACAGCGACTTTCCTATTTGGTGGTCTTTTCCGTTTCTCTTCAGAATGCGTCTAGCATAGCGCCGTCCTATTTGCCTTATAATCGTTAACCTTTTCAGGTCCAAATTTTATTTAAACCCAGAACCTTTAGCACTTGAGGCGGAAACCATGCCTCGAGACCATGCAGCACGCCATTTAGAAATGTCTAGTCAACCGCTGGTATTAATGGGAGTTTCTCACGTTGACTTGGACTTCTAGTAATTTTCCCTGGTCTCTGGGTAGTGAGATCTGACGCTCGTGTGTATTGTGTCGCACGTAAAAAAAAAATATACAGTTAGAAATCGATAGAGTAGCCTAAAAGCTACATCTGCCTGAATAAAACAACTTTGTAATGTAGAAAATATTCACTTTATACGGAAGGTGGGGGGGGGGGGGGGGCTGTGGGCAGGCAAGCAATTGGTGGAGATCGACACATTTAGAGTGGTAACAAGGAGAAAAAGAGCGCATTTTTTTAAATCAGTCGTAGGCAACTTTTATCATGTGTGTGTGTGTGTGTGTGTGTGTGTGTGTTTTGGGGCGGGGGTGGGGGGGGGGGTGTGGGGAATAACCCAAGGTTATTAATGGATTGTCTTAATAACATTTTACCTCCCGTTTTAGACTAAATTATTTCTTGTCTCGGAAACTAAACAAAATTTTGCTATGTCAAGCATCGCAGCGAATTCTAGCTACAATTCTTGGATTGGAAAGAATAGTAGCAGAAGGCGCGGTACAAGGAAAGAAGGACTCCGGATATATAAATGGCAGCTGTGTCAGAAAGTGCACGAGGCAGGAGATCTGGCGAGAGACAGTTACTTTCAGGCAGACCGCGATGACAGCGACCTTCAGCAAAGGACCTGCTACATGATGATGATGATGATGATGATGATGATGATGACGATGTGTGGGTGTGTGTGTGTTTGCGTGTGTGGTTATAATCCAGTTACAGTTATTTGTAATTCTATTACAAACAGTCGTGTAACTGGTTTATTCTTTCAAGATCCCAACATGCGCATCAAAGCAGATATCCACATTCTGATTGAGACAGCACCTAGTTACGACGAATACCAAAGTCAGCTGAAGTTTGCTGTAAACTATACATCAAGATACAAGATAGGCCCAGACACCGCCCGTGCTTGTGTGATGATTTTTGGCCAGGATGATCATTTGAGATTTGATTTTTCAATGTTCAACACGCACGAACAGCTGGCACAGGTATAAACTGAAGACTTGACTTATTAACTTTATTTGTGATTGGAACATAGTTTGATTTGATTTGTGAATTTTATCGGACATGGATTCCACATTAGGGTTCCAGTCTCATCCTGTAGATTGCACAGTGAGAATGCCAGCACAGTGGCTGAACTCCAAAGCAGCGGTGACGGTCGCAGTTGTACAAGAAACTGCTATAAATACTTTTTTTTTTAACCTATTATTGGTGAAGTAAAGAGTAGCGCTGGTCGAATAGTTAAGAACAACGGGCTCTCACACAAAAGATCATGATTCGAATCCTCAGTAAGGTTGGGTATCTTTGTTTATTGCCGGGAGCTAAACTAAATCCCTTAACTGTCCATGTCATGGCGACAGCAGCATCCATGCGGGTCTAAATCACCAGGCCCTGTTGTGTTTGTGTTGATACAGGCTGCTGCCAAAACGTCTGACAGTTCCTCTGTGTGTGTTTGTGTGCGCGTGTGTGTGTGTGTGTGTGTGTGTGTGTGTTTGTTTGTTTTCCACGTACTTGCCAGTGATGCCCTTGTAAGTGAGTCATTGGCAATGACAACAGCTAACAGAAGCCAGCATCACGACTTAGAAATGAGATTGGAAAAGGTAGCAAGTAACAAGAAGGGGAAAAAAAGTTCGCAATCAGACAATACGTCAGGATCTGGAAACATGCCTGAAATACTCGTGTGGATCATTAACAGTTACAATGGGTTAGACATGTCTGCGAAAAAGGAGAAAATCGGCCATCATTGCAGGCATGGAAGGATAAGAACCAGAGAACCAGACCACCAGGGCGACCCAGAGTTGGCTGGGGTGGGGGGGGGGGGGGGGGAACACCCGACAGTCCCTGACTGAGAGAGGACTAGAACAAAGCTAAAACGAAAACTGCAGACATAAGTATGGGGATCAGCCTGACTAACTTCTAAACCTGAAGATAGAAGAGGATCGCCTAAGTGTTTGTTTTCCTCCTTCCCGCCCTCGTTAAGTTTCTTGGTCACAGTTCAGTGGATTAATTTATTTCAACCAGCATCTGCCTGAGTAAAACAACTATGGAATATAGAAAATAATTGCTATATACACGGGGAAAACGTAGAAGGGAGAGCACGGGGAAAACGTAGAAGGGAGAGCACGGGGAAAACGTAGAAGGGAGAGCACGGGGAAAACGTAGAAGGGAGAGCACGGGGAAAACGTAGAAGGGAGGGAAGTAATTCAGCTGTCACAGACATTTATACACATTGGGGGTGGGAGGGGGGCAGGGGGGGGGGGGGTCTGGAGGACCACGGGCGATTTGACTTCCCAGTGTGTGACACAAACATTCAGATAACACAAACATCTTAGGATCTTCAACGGTTGCGTGATTTCAGTGCTAACTTATAGAGTTGGAAAACAAAGGTAGCTATAGATAAAAAGATTAGACAATATTGAGAATAGAGTTCTTATGAAAATACTTGATCTTCACTGCACAGATGTCAGATTCAATACGCAAATACAACAAGAGAAAAAGCAAGAAAATGTATCCCATTATTTTTTTAAAGCACCGTTGGAACTACATTAGCCATGCACTCAGAATAGATAAACCAGACTTCCCCACCAAGCACTCATATGGAGATCAGAAGAGAAAAGACATCGATAAAGACCAAGAGGGACCCTGCGTAGAACCATCATCAGGGAAGGCTCAATAATGCGCCTAAGAAACATCCAAGACCTAAAACAGGTGGCAACCAACCGCCAGACATGGAGAGCTATAAACCCTGCCTTATGCGCTGTCCTAGGCTCAAGGAGAAAGACTAGCACATGAACAGCTGATAGAGTAATTTTCAGATTTTGAACTGGAACTCTGCGCTACTTGCTGCTGAGCGCCTATGTGCTGTAATGTCAGTTCATAACGTAATTCATCTTATCTGAACTCATGTTTGCTTACTACGGCGGAGATAGGTACAAACTCCAGGTGAGAAGGAAAATTGTTTAACTGACCGTGGGTCTTAAACAGACCAAGTATAAAGATTACTAGCCGGACATCTCCAAAGTAAGGGCGCCTTGTGTGACACTAAACGCGTCACTCCTCGCATTAACACCCCACTCACACTTCAAGTTACTTTGCAAACATTTTGGTTTCCACAGTATAACTGTCATATAGGGCTATAAGTTTAACACTGGCGACCGAGTCACCCATTGGCTCGCCGGTAGACGATCTTATCGCCGGTCGGGACGTTGTTTGGGTCTGTCTCCTGTGATCGCATCAACACAGCAGGACCCCTTTTCAGAGCAACTTGGTGGCGTTCAATGCTAAGCCATTTTATATGGCGCACATAAACCTAGTCACAATTACAACCTAAAGCTCCTCATTTGGAGAATGCTAGGTGAACGTGATGATTTCCCCCCCCCCCCCCCCCCCCCCCCCCCAAAGCACCACCACCACCATATGGTTTTAGCGAATTTTCCCGGATTTGTAGCGGTTTCATTCTCATCCTTGAGGTGTCAGTCCTGCAGAATGCAGTTTTGGAGGGGGAAAAATACTTTAAAGGAAATATGTAAACAAAAATCATCAACATCTACGTCGCTTCAAGGCTTCGAAATCGGTACTTTAATTTAATTCACCCCAAACAGAGGACATCCGGGAATTCCCGCGATGGTCCACAGACATAATGTGGCACCAACCCGTTTCTTTTGCGGTTGGTGTCTATTTTTGTTATATAATTTGTGTGTTGATACAATTTGACCACATTTCTTACTCCAAACCTAACTTAGACACACCACCGCTTAGAAAAACGCTTTCCACATGCTAAATATAGCTACCCTAAATATAGCTACTATTATTGTTTGGGGTGAATAAAAATTAAGTACCTAGAAATGCATATACGTGTTATGTGGCTCTCAAATTAGTACACGCGGTTTTGTTGAATTATGTAATCTGCTGATGAGTGCTATCCATCCGCAACGTTCACTTTTCGAGCCTGTTTTCTTATATTGTGAAGCTCTTTGTTCAACTTTTCGTTTGGTCTGATATCCTTTCCACGGCTTACAGGCCTAGTGATCACTCCTCGACGTTTACCAGGGCTGGATTCCTAGGGTGGACCGTTCAGGAGAAGATAGCTCTTGTAGCTTCCAGACAGTGGAGCTAGAGTCGCACCGTGAAAGAGATTGATACCTCGCCAAGTAATATTCACATAGTCAGCGGTGAATACACCTTACCCAATCTCCATTGTTCGGATGACACGATGTTTTTATTTGTTAATTTATTATTATTATTATTATTATTTTTATTTCAGACACTTCTTAGAGCTCCATTTCTGAAGCTAAGCTCTGGCACCGACAAAGCTTTAAGGCTTGCTCGTCAAGAGTCATTCGGTTCATCTGGCCGAATACGTCACGACGTCAAACAAATGGTTGTTATGGTTACTGAAGGACGCACTGCAGACGAAAGCAAAACAATTGAAGAAGCAGATCAGTTGAAGAGTTCGGGAGCTGGGATTATAGTTGTTGGAGTCGCTAGTGTCAATCGGAGCATATTGACAGCTATTGCATCTGACGCAACACATGTTTACATAGCAGATACTTACGTGGAACTTCTAGAACTCACAATAGAAATTGCACAAAAGACAGCCGAAGAAGGTTGTATTCATTGTTTACGTTTGTACATTTTGGATTATATTGTATGCAATAAATCTATGTCATTGGAGATTATAGACAGAATTCTCTCATGCTATAAGTGATTTAACATGTGGCTGTGAATCCTGGACAGTTAATAAACATGCCAAACAGCTTCTTAAGGCCTCGGAGATGTGGTTTTTACAGAAGAAACCTTATAACTCGTTGGACAGTTTTTTTTAAAAATACGGCGAAGGCTCGAAGACAGCCCATCAAAAAAAAAAAAAAAAAAAAGAAGAAACCGGATATGATGTGACCGATGGAAAGATGTCCGGGAAAAGAGTCAGAGGAAGACATCTCTAGACGATTCTTGTCATGGCATGGAGGGTTGTCAACACACTAGCGGATACACGCAGTTGAAGTAATCTTACATTGGGGACAGGAAGGATCGCCCACATAAGTCGGCAAAGTACTTGAGGATGATGACCATCTGAACACAAGTGGAGTGGCCAGACGCATGTCTGCTTGCCGTCTTTGAGATTCTGGGTTCGAATCCGCGTCAAATTGGGTTATTCTAAAAATAATTAGACTCCTCACGAGCACCCAAACCAAAATAAGGATCTAGAAATATTACGGGAGATAAAGACTGTAGACGTGATGTTGGTATCATAACCAGTCCCATCCACTGTCGTACAGCTTTGATGTTGAACTGCATTTCTAATGTCGGACTGATAATGTTGACACTTCTGGCTTCTGCCTTATGCATTTAATGCAGGTGTACGCTATTGAATTTGCTGAGACTGTAGTCTATCTCACAGGTTCTAAGAATATCTTGGGTAAAGAAAAGAACAAATGCATCCATACTTCAAGAGCTAAATATTTAAGAGGGTTGGCTAGTAAAGACAATAAAACAAAGAAAATTGAAATATTTTGGTCACTTGAAACGTCATGGAAGTCTAGAGAGAACAATAATGGAGGGGTATATGCCTGGGAAGAGAGGAAGAGGAAGGCCAAGGAGAAGATGGGTGCAGGATGTGGCAGATGATCTCCAGATGGGTGTATCAGACGCAGGACATCTTGCTCAGGATAGGAAGGTTTTCCGGAGGGTTGTTATGGCAGCGAGGTTCCGCGAGGGACATGCTACTGAATGAATGAATGTAGTCTATCTCAATTATTTCAAAAAGGGACAGCTATGGGCATTCTGTTTACTCAAACGGAGCAGCTATAGGGTGACCCGTTTGATTTGAAGCTGGAACTAGATTATGTAATTATGCGGCGTCGGGAGGAACAGTTTGCGACACAGCACTCAATGGGCAGCACTGGATAATGTCATTCCGTGGAGATTTAAATGTGTTCAATGTCATCAGTCCACATCCTCCTGGGTCTCCTCTGGGTCACCTCTGGCTCTCACATTTAGTTTTGTTTTTTATGTAGCTACTGTGTTGGTAGTTGTAGTGGCTGGAATTTACGACATGACCAAATCATTCGGTATCCTGCTTCTCAGATGGTTTTTACAATTGTTGCATACACATTATAATGGCCCTGCGTTGGTATTTTTAGTTACTTTGGCATAAAAGAAGCAAAAGTTTACCTACTTTCGAAATAGAGCATCGGATGCTGACGGTGTTGGAATGTAACCCAGACAGCTGTGAAAAGCGCAAAGCAATGCAGGATTGCTAGTTTTGGTAATTTATAATATGAAGGAGCTATTCAGCGTGTTTAGTTCGTAAGTAAGCATAACAAGAACGGCTGTAGAGAGAGTTTTTTTTTTTTTGTTATCCAGAAAAACTAGTCAGTTGCAAGCTGGAGTTTGCTCAGGACAGGCTGTGGGGTTGACTTAGCCTTAGAAAATGGGTTCCAGTTTGTTTCTAAAACCGGCTCTGTGGCTTAAAAGCAAGCAAATGCGGTTAACAATTTCAGGACCCTCGTGAACTTTGGTTCGTTACCCGCAATAAACAGGTAAAATCCAATTTCCATTGTTTTCGGACAATTGTACCAGAGTCGCACCATGGAAGAAATTGAGGCCTCACTATGTAATATTCTCAAATAGAACAGTGATATACTGTAGCCAACCTGCATTGTGGAGATGGCACCTAACCTTTTTTTTTTTAAATAAAAGTTTTTGGGCATTGCATTTGAAGAACATGTGGTTAGAACGAGAAGTTAGTAACAAACCATTCTGTGTGTATGAAACCCATGGTTGTGTTTTTAAGTGGGAATTTTCGTTACATGAAATGTATGTTCTCGTATTGTTAAGCTCACCAGTACTTTAATTTTAGATGATCCCATATCGTTGGCTTTGAGATGTGGTAGACAAATTCCCAGAAAGTCCCAAAGCATTTAGGGGTTAGGGTTATGGTTAGTTAGTAGTCACTTTTCACTTAACACTAGCCATGTTCCTAACCCCTCACCCTTTCTCTATAATATGGCAGTATCCAGGGAAATCCCTAGGAATTCCCTATGAACTATCGAAGCCGACGAGATGGGGTCGTCTCAAATTGAAGTACCAACTCACCTGCGGTCTAATTATTAACCAGATTCTTCACTTTTATAACTAGCTCCTCAGTACCGGGCAAGAGCAGATATTTTGTTTATCTTGGACTCGTCTGGCAGTATCAGTCCTGCAGATTACCAAAAGGGACTTGATTTTGTGATCTACCTGATCTACAATTTTAACATTGGACCCAATGAGGAACATTTCAGTGTTATGGTGTTTTCCGATGATTCTCAGATACTGTTTGACTTTACTTTGACCCATCATGATCAAGTGATTAGGGTAAGATTTGGATCACACTATTTACCACTTGATTGCTTGATGAGAACTTGTTTCGATGGTATTATAGAAATACTCAGTAAAACAATGACCAAATGTTTTGTTAGTGTTGACGCACGACTGTTTTCTGTTGTGTGCCAGACTGTGAAAACATTGACACGGTAGATTTCTTCTTTCTAGGTTTTTTCCACGCCTTCAAGCCTATTGGGCATATAAGGTTTGACCTGTATTTTATAGACCAATCGGCATCTTGGTGGCTGATGTAGTCAGCATCACGCCTGCCGCTTTTTCATTCAAGGACTGTAACTGGTATCAACGCAAGGCTGGGTGGACCTGGAGCCAAGGTCATTTTGGAAAGATATCTAGCTAACCCAGGACCCAAACCCACGACCTTACGATGCGCAGGCGAGCATATAGCCCCCACACCACAGCGGCGTGACCCCTTTCCCCCACGGTAGACAGATAATTAAAGACAGATTTAAAAAAAAGGACAGACAGGCAGATAGAAAGAAAGACAGAAAGAAAGACAGACAGTCGGAGAGAGCAGAAAGGTAGATAGACAGATAGACAAATATAGCCTGCTGAGAAGGGCAAGAGAGAAACAGACAGACAGACAGGCAGGCAGGCAGGCAGACAGACAGACAGACAGACAGACAGACAGACAGACAGACAGACAGACAGACAGACAGACAGACAGACAGACAGACAGACAGACAGACAGACAGACAGACAGACAGACAGACAGACAGAAAAAATACAGCCCGCTGAATCAGGGCGAGCTTTGACATTTGCAGATGATGTCCTTATGTATCGAAGCGGGTTAGACAGGCACGACATAGCCAGAGACTTGCAAAGTGAAATAAAGGGCACAAATATTGAAAGAAAAATTGGTTGATATACTTAGTTTCGACGTTTAATCGCAGTCTGTCCTACAGATATCTTGTGGATCAAATAACAGTTGCGCCTGGCGACACTAAAGACAATGGTAGCGGCAAACATGGAACAGAAACTTTTGATCTTTTTGTTTAACAATTTGGTCCTTGCAGGAACTGATGCGGCCTAGGAATTTTAACCCTATCTACTTCACGGTGTACAAAGTTTGAAGGCATTTAGCATGAAGGAAAGAGAATCGTCTTGGGTTGCATACGAGATAGACCAATTAAAACAATAATGTATAAGCTTGGGCTGACATCGGTAAAGTCTAGACTGTCACTTGCCCAAGCCAAAGTCTATATGCAAGTTACCAGTGATGAAAGAACTCCGTTGTATGGCAGTCTGAAAGATTTGAGAGTCGGCAGGCCGGCTGAAAATTGGAAAGTCATGGATGGCACTTGCTGAAGATACCATCGAGACGGCAACCTCGCTCAAACAAATACACAAGGGGCAGGAATGGGTCGACACGAACACTCACAGCAGCAGTTACCACAGGTCATTATCACGTTAGGAAGAGAATATAGAGAGTGGTGTAACAGTAGGGCAGAATTAGAGGTATAATTATTAGATGGAAAGCCTGGGCTAGATGACGCATGTTTACACCGATGGTTCTGTTCATCTGTGTGTAAGATCTGGCCTTGGATTTTCAGCTAGTATGAAGGGAGAGATCGCGGCAGAACAAAATGAAGCTTTTCTAACTACAACTTAAAGCATAAGGATGGAGGTGGAGGCAGTGACTGCAGCTCTGAGGTAGACAGCAGAAAACACAGTTACCAGAAGAATTATTGTGTTTGATTCTCAGTCAGTACTGCGGAAGGTTGAAAATGGGCAAATGGGGCATGAGTGGATACCAAGCATCAGTCATCAACATTGCAGAGGATCACACTGTCCGGGATATGGAGGAGTGCAAGAGAAAAAAAAAAAAACAGAGAGCGGATTTTCTGGCTACAAAAAGCGATAGCTACGGGAACACTCGTACTAGACAAGGAAGACATTGTGAAGACCATATACGAACAAATGTCGATAGAAGACACGAGTTTATATGAAATGACTTGTGTAAGAATGTGCGAACGAAGAATTAGGAGTGGATTCGTCAAGTACGAGCATATGAGGGAATGAGAATGATATTTTAATTATCAGTGTGCTACGGGAACAGAAGACATTTGCTGCAGCAGACGGAGCATCTATGGGCATGCCTGGTCAGTTCTGATGTGTATTCCTAAATCAGTAAAACAAATCAGAAAGTGATTACATTGGGGATTCCTATAAATAAACAGGCAGGGAACCTTTGAGGCCGTTAAATATTATGAATTAATCAAGTAACAGAAAGTGTATTGATCGGCACTCATAGAAAGAAGTAGAAAGAAGAACACAATAGACAACATAAAAATCGAAAGCCCCCTTGGGCAGTACATTTTTGCTTTTTAAAGTGATTAATCTCTCATATTACCATCTCTTACGATAAATTAACACCTAACCCTTCTTCGTGATATAATATTATACTGTTTTCATACATGCATACTCACATACAAATGCACACCATGATTATTCGATGTTAATTTCTTTCGTTAGTAAATATTATGTCTTATCTACATGTGCCAGGGAATTAGAGCAGCCCCACACATGAGGCAGTCAACGAACACCGCTGCCGCCCTGGAACTTGCAAGGACACAAGTATTCACGCCTCGTTGTGGCTGTCGTGGTGGGAAGAAGATCGCTATAATTATAACCGACGGTTGTTCTAACAACATACATAAGACAGCTCGTGCAGCAGAGGAGCTGAGAGAGTCCGGTGTTCTGACCCTGGCAGTTGGTGTAGGAGATATCAATCCAGTTGAGCTAGCTCATATTGCTACCTTACCAGAAGATGTCTACACGGTTGACAATTACAGTGTACTTCAGACAATTCAAGATGAACTTACCGAGAAGACCTGTAGACTTGGTAAGACAGCATTCGTTCTTTTGAAGTGCTTATTATATTTAGAATAATGTAAGTAGAAAAAATAGTTTTAAAAAAAAAATGTTATTCTATTTCTGTTAGTTGGTGGGCATTTTGTTAACAACCTGCGACATGCTGACGATCTAGCTTTGATCGCAGAAAATGAAACACAACTGCAAGAAATTATGGACATAATTGTAACGGAAAGTGAAAACAAGTCTCTTAGTTTGAACATCAGAAAAACAGAAGTAATGGTAGTAGATAACTGACCCTTGAAAATGGAACATCAAAGTAAATGGGACCCATTTCAAGCAAGCTGATATGTTTAAGTACTTGGGTACCCTGATAACATTGAATATATTTCATCATCATCATCAGATGCCTTGCCGACTGGCGTGGGCGATCATGCCTCTCCATAATCCACGATCTCCTTCAGCATGTATCAATTCGTGTGCCGACACACCTCCATGCCATGCAACAAGACTGTCAAGAATCTTCTCTCGTTGTCTTCCTCTATCCCTCCTTCCACAGATATTTCCAGTGGTCACAACATGTTCTATTTTCCCTCTTCTCATAACATGGCCGAAAAATGATGACTGTCTCCTTCTGATGTCTGTGATAAGTTGTCTTCGGGCTCCCGCCTCTTTCAAAACCTCTTGGTTGCTCTTTTTGGTTGTCCAAGGTATTTTAAGCATTCTTCTGTAAAACCACATCTCTGAGGCCTCAAGAAATTGTTTGGCCTGTCTACTGATTGTCAAATATATTTAAATAAGTTAAATGTAGAATAGCTTAAGCAAAGGCAGCATTTTACAAAACGAAGAATATTTTATGCAATTTTTCTTCGTCAGTTGAGACGAGAAAGAGATTTAAAAATATATATATATATTTACATCTTATTTTTATGTACGGAAGTGAGTCATAGCCAGGTGGTAGATTGGTGAAAAATTATTTGGAAGTTGCTAAGACGTGGTTTTATAGACGAATGGTAAAAATACCTGGATAGATAAACAGAGTATTGATGTCTTGAAATAAACTGACTCACGAAGAGAACTGACTGCCTAACATCAGAAAGAGACAATCTACATTCTTTGGTCACGTGATGAGAAGAGGAAAACTGCAGTACATCGAGACAGTGGGAAAGCTTTTGGGGAACAGAGGCACAGGGAGACCGAGAGAGAAGATGCTGGACAGTTTGACATCATGGCATGAATGATCATTTGTGACAGTTTGATTGAAAGTACACGAGACAGAAGGTTGTGGATAGACATGACTAACAACGTGACATGGCATGGACTTTATGAAGACAAATGTGACAAAGGGAAAATTTAAGGGAAAAAGAGGCAAAAATGGAGACCGAGAGAGAAGCTGCTGGATAGTTTATAAAAAAATATAATAGGCGATCATCTGTGCCAGAACTGATTTAACGTACACGAAATAGAAGATTGTGAACAGACGTGATTACCAAAGCCACAAAGCATAGGCTATGTGAAGTTACAACATAACTGCAGAAATGTTAAAATCATTTTCTACTTTTGGAATTGATACTATCACAGAAATATGCAATGCCATTTATAACTATGGGTACATTCCCAGGGACATGAAAACATCTGTTTTTATCACACTACCCAAGAAATCAAAAGCTGTTGATTGTGAAGATTACAGAACTATTAGCTTAATGAGTCACGTAACGAGGAAGTAAGTTACAAGCTTCAAGATAAATATAAAGCAGAATTTCTAAAATAAAATAGATAAAGAAGTTTCTAAAGAGCAATTTGGATTCCGTTTTTTAAAAACAGTGGAAAATCGAGCCAGGCCATTACAACATGACAACTAATTGAAGCTTGTCAAAATTGAATGCTGACTAATGGAAAGTCTCTTCATAGAATGGACATATCATCTGCTCACCCCAGATAGAGATCAAGAGAGGAGTAAGACAAGGATGTGTACTGTCGCCTAGCCTTTTCAACTTATGTACAGACACCATTTTTAAAGAAATTGTTGAATTACCAGGACTGCACATCAATGGTAGAATAAAAAATAATGCTGACGACACAGTTTTGCTAGCATAGAGTGAGCAAGAGTTGCAAGACCTAATAGAGCAAGTAAACAGAAGGAGTGCAGAATTTGGATTAGATATTAATTTGAAAAAGACAAAAACCATGATATTTAGCAAAGAAAATAATCAGCTAACAATGAATATCACAGTGAACGGGGTGAAATTGGAAAAAGTTAAACATTTCTTACATCTTGGACAAGTAATAACATATGATGGCAGAAGTGAAACAGAAGCCAAGAAAAGAATAGGAATGGCCAAAAACATTTTCAACAACATGCAAAAGTTACCGACATCAAGAGAAATAAGCAATACAATAAAAATGAGAATTGTCAAATGTTATGTATTCTCAACCTTACTGTATGGCACAGAGACATGGACAATTAACAAACAACTGGAAAATCGTATCAATTCTTTGGAGATGTGAATATACAGAAGATTAGGTCGTATTTCATGGAAACAAAAGCTATCAAATACAGAGGTACTGAGGAAATTGGGAATGAAAAGAGAGTTGCTAGATGAAATAAAAAAGAGACAAGTGAAATATTTTGGCCACATTAAAAGACATAACAGTATTGTAAAGATCATCCTAGAGGGAAAGGTTCAAGATAGGCGAGCAAGAGGCAGACAACATTACAAGTGGGAGGATAACATCAAGAGATGGACGAACAGCAGTATGAGTGAGAGCAAGAGCAAGAGACAGGGCTTGTTGGAGATCCATTGAAGTCAACCTTCATTGTGGAGACGGCACCTGATTGATTGATGTGAAGTTAGCGTCTGTCTGTAGCTTAGGGTACATGGTGGAAGTTAAACTTCCGACATAACGGTGTTCACGGTCAGCGGCATGCCACTTGATAGTAGACGAATTAGCTTTGATGCTGACAACTTATAAGCGTAGTAGAAGAGATAAAAAACCGACCAAAACATGATGTAGGCTTGTCCGTTGAGTTTTCCAGTCGGTTTGTGTTGTATAATATAACACTTTATATCCATATTTTTTTTTCATCCATTACATATTTTTTTCTTTTATGTTGACCTCGATTGTTTAGAAGCTTTGTTGTCTTGTCCGTTGCGTTTTCAGTCAGTTTGTGCTGTGTTCAGTACTCCGTTGATACAGACTTCAGTGGTCTGCATGTGACTAATAAAAAAAATGATATCAACGTCTGGTATTCCTTGGAATAACGCCATTATTACAGCCTGCGTTACAGAATAACACAAACTTAGTGCTGCGTTTATCTTCACGACCACATTGCCTAGTCCTTTCCATCAGCGGCGATGACACCATAACATTATGCACTCCGATTGGAGCTCAGTGATTGGACACTTCTTTTTCTGTGTTCGCCATTGAAAGGGCAGATGACACGTTTACAGGCAAGCTGCGATATCTGTGCGTTTTGGCCCTGAACATTCAATTTTGCTAAACTTATAAACAGTCATAATTAACGATATGCTTATTAGGATAGGACGTGAGTGCGTTTATCCGCCCCTCCCCTCCCCCTTTTCGTCTTAATGGGAACCCGAGTATTGGAAGCTCCTGAATCGCAGCGTTTTCGCCTCCTTAGCATATCTAGAATACCAGGTATGCTTTGTTTTCTCTTCTCTCCCTTTCCCTATCCCTCGTTTCTTTTCTGTTCATTCATTTTCTTCAAGGGATTTCATTGAATGTTAGAAAAACAATTCTCGCTTGCTATACGCAGCAAGTTTTAACATACGGCTGTGAATCCTGGACAATTAATAAATAAGCCTAACAATATCTTGAGGCCTTGGAGGTATAGTTTTACAGAAGAATCATTAGAGTTCTTTCAACAGTCAGAAGAAGCAACGGATATCTTTTGAAACACGCTCGAAGACAGCTTATCACAAACACTAGAAAGAAACAGTCGTGTTATGGGAAAACTAGAATATGTGGTGACCCTGGAAAAATCTGGAAAACGAGACAGAGGAAAGCAATGATAGACGGCTCTTGGCAGCATTATGTCAAGGCAGGAAAAGTGTCAACACACAATCTTATACATCCTGTTGAAGATCGCAGATTGTGGAGTGGCTTGTTCCCCAATTCAGTTTGTAAGACAAATGATAACAATGACGTTGATACCAAGGGATTTGTTTAAGTCCTTCCAGGACTGGAATAATGAGGACTAGGACGAGCATACAACGAACAGCACTACGCAGACCGAGAGTACGATGGATAGACAATATATCAGAGATCCTGAGGCAACACGGACTAACAACAACACGTGCAACACACCTGGCCCAGGATAGAAAACTGCGACTCCCCACTACGCTGTGAGGCAATTGTGGACAAGACAAGACAGGACAATGTTTTATATGACAATTTTCAATAATTTTTTTTTAACTTCTGTGTGAGTTTTTGAATCTAATATGTTTTTACTGTCAAAATAAATTTATTCCCGAACAATTCATGATAAATAATTATTATGTTTTCCCCAGATACAGCAAGGAGAAACACAGTTAGGAGGCCACCATTGCCCCCTGATGAACAAGAATGGAGACCACCATCACCCCTTCAGCCTTGTAGAACTAGCTGAGATGATCTGGCGATATGGAACACATAAACAGTGCACACATGCTAGCCATACATGAAGCATGTAGTGTACATATAAATATACACACACAACACTTTATATATATATATATATATATATTGATAAAGTATATATATATATATAGATATATATATATATATATATATATATATATATATATATATATATATATATATACACACACATGAAGTGCATTACTCTCTGAATGTAGAGTGCCAGACTTGTGGTGCATTACTTCATGGGGGGGGGGGGGGGGGGGGGGAAGGGGATGTCTATGGCAAAGTGATCAAACTGTTTTTCTCTCACTCTGAAGGTTGCAGGTTCATTTCATAACTGTGTAGTTTGGGTTTTGGGATCATTGATAGAGCTTAACCATTTGATGT